AGGATCTCAGTGTCTCCAAGGCATATGGTGCACTTGTGCCACGTGCTGCCTCAGTTTCCCCGCTGTTCTCACAACCCTCCCCTGCAGCATCTCCACTCCTCCCTCATCCCAGTGCTGGGGCTGAGCTGTGTGTCCTGCTGAGAGCTGCTGTCAGCGCACACTGTGGGGTTGGCAGGCAGCAAGCATAGGGAATAAAATTCTTCCCCCTCCCAGCTTGCTGCCAGGTTAATATTCCCTCTAACGACAGACGGTTCCTTTTATCCCCTCGCACGCTCCCGCCAGTGATTTAATCTTGAACAAGCCGTGATTATTTCCTGTACAGCTGCCTCCCTCGCACTAAAGGCCTGGCCTGACAGCATTGCACCAGGCAGGGAGCAGATCTGCAGGCTGGCTGGGACCAAGGGAGCTTCAGCAGATCCTGCACTGCCTGGAGCCATTGCCCCTTATGACAGGACCCCTGACTGGGGATGGCAGATATCAGGGAAGAAAAAAAACTGGGGAAGGCATTGGGTTGCTCGACCAGGGGGCTTTCCAAGACCCAGCTTCATGGGGTTCTGCCAAATCCTGGAGGTTACATTGGTAATGTGGGACCCATCAAGTGCCAATTGCTACTTCTGCTTCCTCCAAACCCAGCTCTGACCCCAAGCAGATGTGATGCAGGCTTGAGGAAGCAGCATGTTACCAGAGCGATATGGGGCAGCAGGAAGCCCCCTGGGTACTGGGAAAATTAAAGGCCAGAAAAGCACCAAGGCCATTCTCTTGCTGCTCACTTCCCTTGTCCAGGTTGCTGGGGAGAAGGTTCCCATAATACTGAGCCATTGGAAGTGGACAACTTCACTGCTCTGCTCAGCTGGTGGAGATTATGAGGTTCGCACTGGAGGCTTGTCTGCAGAACATCCGTACAGGACACTCATGTCCTTCATCCACGCTCTACCCAGGGGGCTGGGGAAGGCCACGGTAGGAAAAAACATCGGGAGAGCAGAGCTGGTCCGGAGCTACCACAACAGCAGCAAAACGCGGGGTGCAGCTCCACCTGGTGGGCAGCGATCCTCCCCGCGAGTGTCGCTGGGTCCCCATGGCCACCAGCGCCGGGACCCAAGAACTGAAGCCAATGGCTCTGTCTTTCCCATCACTGGGGAATCTCTGGGAACTGGGGCCAGTGGCCGGCGGCCTCACTCCAGGGTTCGAACTGTTCCAGTGTTTGGGGATGCCTGGGTCACCCGCGTTAGTCTGAGGGTGAGCAGCCCTTCTCCGGGGTTCTCCTCGGACGCAGCGCCTGGCAGCAGCCCTTCCCCCGCCGGGACTCCGCGATCTGCCCCCCGCACGGTACAGCCTCCGGGGCCGCCAGAGGGCAGCACCGGCACGGGGTACAGCTCGGGGGCCGAGTCCGCGGAGCCTCACACTTCATAGTTGCCTGCGGGGGTTGATGGTAATTAGCCCATTCATTAAGCTCTCCCGAGTTTTTAGCTGTTGCAGGACTACATGGATACCCTAACGAGGAACGACTCGTGGTGCTTGGGCTGTCCCCCACACAGCTGAAACCTTTTCCCAGCGATGGCTTTAGCAGCAGCTCTGAAAACGACAGGTGCTGCAATAATCCCCATTCTCATTCTGCATCTGCAAAGCAGGAGCCTAGTGTCTGCCCTGTGCGACTCTGTGCTGCTCCAGGACCCCTCTCTCTGCCCAGCAATCTGGATGCTCTGATGTTTTTCCCTGTCAGTCCTCTCTACTGCGGTTTCCATCTGGAAGAGCAGTCTTTCTCAGGGTCCCTGAATTTTTTCTACCATTGCTATTTGGCAAACAGCAGGACAGAAATAGCTGTTCCCTGGGGGCTGTGCTCTGCTTTGTGATTCCAGGAACTGACCTCGGAGCAGGGGCTGCACGAGGCCCTCCACGTACCTGCCGCTCTCCCCGCCCTGGACTGTACAATGCTGTCTTTGCCAGTGCAGACAGACCACGGCACACCAAGTGAGCCATTAGAGACCAGCTCCAGCCAGCCAGTTGCTCATTCATCTTTGTGAAGCAGGCAGGGGGACGTGCCAACTGCCTTCTGCCAGGACGCATAGGAAAGCTCGTGCCTGGTAGCTCTGCAGCCTGGAACAGGGGACTAGCATTACAGTAGGGCTGCCAGTGTGCTCCAGCTCCCCATCCAGATCACCCCTGGTCTGGAATAGGGGTACTTCTAACACAGTCAAAATTAGGGGCCTGGGCAAGCAAGCATCCCTTTGTTGGCACAGGCACGTAGCTGATATATGTGTTGTCCTAACTGGGGTGACCTTTTGGAGCAGGGGGTCTGTTAATGCCTTCTATTTCTGTTCTATGCCTTCCTTACTGCCCAAAGCTGCTGGGAGGTGACCTGCCATGGTGCTGAGCATGTGGTTTGTGTTGTATCATCGCTTGTCAGTCTCAGGCCTGAAGCTTGAAGAATAAAACTGGAGAGGGGGGAAAGGATCCTCCTCTTTCACGTGGAAGAGCAGCTGCCTCCGAGGTAAGCTGCAAAGCCGCTTCTTTACCTGTATAAGAAATGTCCCTCTGTTCTTGCAGGGTAATTCCCTGGCGTTTGCATGACACATGGGATGGAGAAAGACAAATTCTCACCAACCACCTGCATCTCAGAGCTGTTCCTCTGGTTCCACAGCATGATGCTGCAACTGCAGGCAAGGGAAACAGCTGGCCCTAGGCTGGAGTTTATACAGATTTCAGCTCCAGGAAGCTCATGCGTTGCTGCCTGGGGCCAATGACTGCAGACCTGGTTGAGGGAGCCTCTGCATGCTTCTCTGTGGGAGGCTGCAGAGCCTGGCTCATGGCTGCTGAATACAAATAGTCCTGCTTAATGAGTTCAGGGATGCCAATTTGGGAGAGTGCATGGAGGGTGGGGGCGGCTTCATGTATTTCAGGTGAAGCAATCTGGGAGCAATTTTGTTCCAGGAGGAGAGAACAGCGTGCAGGAAGGGCTCTGCTGCTTCACCTGCCAAATTCAGCTGTGGTTGCTGATGAGTTTGTGCAATTGGAAAGTCAGTCCATCCTCAAGCATGGAAAGAGGACAAGGAATGATCCCTTCACTGGAACAGGCTGCCCGGGGAGGTTGTGGAGTCTCCTTCTCTGGAGATGTTCAAGACCTGCCTGGATGCCTACTTGTGTGATCTGGTGTAGGGAACCTGCTTTGGCAGGGAGGTTGGACTTGATGATCTCTGGAGGTCTGTTCCAACCCCTACAATTCTGTGTGTGATTCTGTGTGTGATTCCCTAGGGGTGGAGCCCTTCCATCCTTGCTAGGCTGAAGCTGGAGAGTCTTAATCTTCAGGAACTTTGTCCTGGCTTTGTTCCTTCTCATTTGTATCCCATATTCCTTTTTTTGACACCAAATTCTCCAAGTTTGTTTGTTTTCAGCAGGCCTTGGGTAGACAATGCTGGCCCAGATCCAATTGGGTTCTGGCTGCTCCCGAAGCAGATCTGTGTGTCTGTGTACACGTGCGTGTTTTTGCATAGGCCACCAAGGCATGTGGTTGGCCACAGCAGGGGATATGTAGGAATGGGACTTAACCCCTCTTTTTGCTCTGGCAGAGGGTCCCAGGTGTGGCATAACAGCCCCAGGCATGGGGAGGCCCCGCTGGGAGGATGAAGTCAGCTCTGAGCCTGCGCTTCCATTTCAAACACCTCCAGCATCAGCACTGCAGGAGGAAGGGGGAGCTGCTTTAGCTCCTCCTGGTTGATAATTCATTACTGCCTGTTAGCCTGGATCTATCTGGCAAGAGCTGACGTGTTAATTTCACGGATAAAATGCTATATCAAAATGCATCATCGATACATTCTCCCTGAACCATTTCTCAGCCGTCGCTTCCGGGCAATTTACATGCAGGAGCAGTCCAGGCAATTGGGGCATTTTGTTCCTAATGGATGCCTGGCACCAGCTGGAGCCATCAGAGCCGCAGGATCTGTCCTCCAGCTCCTGAGAAACACAGCAGGATCCTCCCGCGATGGGCAGGGAGGCAGGGGGTGCAGGCTGCATCCGTGCCGTGCTCAGATCTAGAAGGGGGGAAGCAGGCTGTGTGCACACAGCTGGTTGATCGCACACCATTTTGCAGTGATGCAGTAGTGCAGCATCCTCCCCCTCCTTTCTCTATCTCTAAGCACCCTGACTTTTGTCTGATGCTGGTGATGGTCAGAGCAGTTGGAAATTTCCCCTCTGTGGCTGAAAAGGCAGAACGGGGATAGGACAGGCAGATAGAAGATGCGCTGTGCTGTTGTACAGCTGGTGCTGGGGGGCTCTCGCCAGCCTGGAACAGGCAGTGGGGAGCAGCACCCTGCAGAGACAAACCCAGGGGGCAGGCTGGCTCTCCCCCCAACCCCTCCATGATGGCTCTATGTGGGCAGACATTTCCCGTTCCCAAACCTTCTCTAGCTGCCCTCAAGCATGCATCTCCCATCTTCCTCTCCCCTTGGCATCGCATAGGGTTCTTCCCCACTCTTGTGGCCAGCTGCATCTCCACCCAGCACCACTTCTGGGTGCTCATCTGGGCTGGGCTGGTCCATCCTGCCTTCTCGAGCAAGGAACAGGACCCGGGCGGGGGCGGCCGCGTCCTGAGGGGCTCCCAACACCTTCCCGTTCTCCCATCCCTGCATCCCAGCCACCTCCCCACGGCTCCAGAACACAGTCTGGAACCCGCGGGACCTGTCGAGGCGGCGATGAAGGTCACGGCGGGACGGCCACCGCCCAGAGAAACCGCGCCGGTCCAGCCGACCCCCCCGCCACCGCCCACCGGGGAGGGGGCGGGCCGTACCGGGGCCCCGTGCGGAGCCGATTGGCTGTCGGAGGGGAGGCGGGGAGCTGCGGGGCGGTGGCTGGGCTGCAGCGGAGGGCGCGGAGCCCAGAGCGGGCGCGGCGAAGCATCCTTCGGGCACCGCGGCCCCCGTGCGGGCCGCTTCCCCCGCAGCACCCCGGCCTCCTATGGGCGGTGCCGGCGTCCCGGCCCCCATACGCCCGTCCCGCTCGGCGTTAGCATGGGCACGGTGCTCTCCCTGTCCCCCGCCGCCTCCTCGGGCAAGGGCGGCGGCGGCGGGGGGCTGCTGGCCGACAAGGCTCCGGGCAGGCTGCCGGGAAAGGGCGAGAGCCGGCTGAAGAGGCCCGGGGTGCTCATCTCGGCGCTCACCTGGAAGCGGCTGGTGGCCGCCTCGGCCAAGAAGAAGAAGAGCACCAAGAAGGTGACGCCGAAGCCCGGCGGAGGGCCCCCTCCCGGGACCCAGCCCGACCCGCTGGTGGTGCAGCGCAACCGCGAGAACTTGCGCAAATCGCTGGGAGGGCCGTCCGAAGGAGCCAAGCAGGGCCCGCTGGCCGTGCCGGTGCCCACCGTGCCCTCGGCGCCCCAGGAGCTGCACCCCGGCTCCGGTGGGGGAAAACCGCCGCCGCCCCCCGGTAGCCGCGCCCCGGGCTCGCCGCGCCGCGTGGTCGTGCAGGCGTCCACCGGAGAGCTGCTGCGCTGCCTGGGGGACTTCGTGTGCCGCCGCTGCTACCGCCTGAAGGAGCTGAGCCCCGGCGAGCTCATCTCCTGGTTCCGCAGCGTGGACCGCTCTCTGCTGCTGCAGGGCTGGCAGGACCAGGGCTTCATCACCCCGGCCAACCTGGTGTTCGTGTACCTGCTGTGCCGGGAGGCTCTGCGGGGAGAAGACATCGGGAGCCAGGCCGAGCTGCAGGCCGCCTTCCTCACCTGCCTCTATCTCGCCTACTCCTACATGGGCAACGAGATCTCCTACCCGCTGAAGCCCTTCCTGGTGGAGGGCGACAAGGGCCGCTTCTGGGAGCGCTGCCTGGGCATCATCCAGCGCCTGAGCGCCAAGATGCTGCGAATCAACGCGGACCCGCACTACTTCACGCAACTCTTCCAGGACCTCAAGAGCGAGGGCGAGGGCGGAGACGGGTCCAAGCACTGGACGATCAGCCTGGACCGCTAGGGAGGTACCGGGCCCCCGGGGACGGAAGGGGCCGCGCACCGAGGGGCGGGGGAGGCGAAGGACTGCTGGATCCCCCCCAACCCCAATCTTCCTCGCCTAACCCGCTCCGCGGAGACGCTGCCTGGACCCTCCCCGCTCCGGATCCGGCCGCTTCCCCACCCTCCCCCCTTCTGCCCTCCGGGACACCAAGACGGCGGCGAAGACCGGGGGGAGGGGGTTGGCCTTCCGCCTGCACGACGGGGGGGGGGGGGAAGGGGGAGAAAGGGGCTGCCGAGGTGCGGAGGCTCTTGGATATGTTTTCTTTAGGGAAAAAAGGAAAGAAACACAAAACAAAAACAACAACAACAACGCCCGGAAGGGAGGAGGGCGTGGGGGCTGCGGAGCCGCTGCGTGTCCCCGCGCTTCCCCCTCAGCCGCGAGCAGCGCGCGGCCCCGCGCTGCCGGAGCTGTTCGTGGTGCTGAATCCGCCGCCGAGGCAGAGCCGAGCAGACAAAGGGCGGCGGGGAAGGAGGGGGCGGGTTGGGGGTGGGGGGGGTCGCGAGCCTTTGTGTCAACGGCGCTGTTCGCTGCCCGGTTATGGGGGCGAGGGGGGGGGGGGTTCTCCAAGGGAATGGGAGTCCCCCGGGTGTGGTGGGCCCTTCAGTTCAGGGTGGCCACCTGCTCGTCCCTTTGTTTGAGCGGCTGGGAGGGGACGCTTCCCGCTCCCTTCCCCCCAACTCCCCAACGTGTAGCCCCCTAAGAAGGGCAACTGTGGGGTGAGCAGCGTTCCCCTTTAACCTTCTTATCCCCCTCCCCACCTCGACTTGCTGTGGGGAATGGTGTATGTGCCAGATGAGGACTAGGGGCTGGGGTGGGGGTGCTGGGTTTTGGGAGGGGGGGGGTCCTCTCCTCTTGCTTTGCTTCACTGGAGAATAAAGAGGTGGCCTGGATGGGCCTGGTGCTGCCTCCCTGGACTTGCTGGGCTGTGGGATGCAAAGGGGAATTGGGGGGTGTCCACTCTCCTCCCCATGGAGATGTGGGAGGTTGATTCTCAGAGGGAGCCTTCCTCCCCAGATCGATCTGGGGCGGGGGGGGGGGGGGGGGAGCCAAAATTTCACCACTGTTTGCTGTGTCCGCCCTTGGCTCCCTGTGAGCAATCCTGGCCTCCACCATTGCAGATGGAATGCCTGCTGTCTGCTGCAGTGAATGTAACCAGGAGCCCACAGCTCACGTCACCTCCTTTTTTTTTTTTTTTTTGCCTAAAGATACCCCACCCTCCCTCCTTACTGCCTGTGCTCTGCAGGGCCAGGCTGCTCTCTCTGGCAGCAGCAGGTTGTGGGAGCTGTATTACTAGCCTGATTACCAGCTCTGTGCTTCTGCAGACCCCAGGGAGCAGGGAGGAGTTTCTCAGAGCTGGTTGCTACGCCTCCAGTTGCTCAGTTTTCTGGGGCTCCTCAAGCAGGATCCCTTGTATGTGCCCTCGCATCAGGGTCTGCATCTAGAACTTTGAAGCTCCTCTGAGCCAGACCCTTGGGTTCTCCTCAGCTAGGAAGAACTGTGCTGGCTCTGCAGGTCATGGAGGATAAGCTGGATTCCCTACCTTTGTGTGCATCAGCAGAGCTGCTAATTAGGCCCAATCTGGCTCATTCAGGCAAAGCTGTGCAGCCAGGAAGACAGCACAGATGTCCCTGTGACGGGGTCTGAGCTGGCAGGGTGCTGTGCAAAGCTCTTCTGTGTTGCATGCACCCACTGAGACCTCTGCTGCTCCCATCCTCCCTGTCCCTACTATGTGCTCTGATCCTTTCTTTATACTGACATTTGTGTGACCTTGTGGGGGGCTGTCTGGGCCAAAATGTTCTCACAACCTCACCTAACCCCAAAATTGGCTATACCCCTTTTTTGTGTTGAGGAGGGGGGCAGCTCTGACCTGCTCTGTCTCAAACTGAGCTGGAATCAGACCCATTCGAGTTCCTATGGGGCTGCTGGGGGAATTCTGATGCTTCTCTACCAGTATTTTACAGAGAGGGAAACTGAGGCACAGTGTGATGAAGCCTAGCAAGAGGGGTTTTCAGCCTCACGGGAGATGCAATCCAAGGGTACCAGCCATCTCTACCCTCAGCTAAGGCTGTTTGCAGACCCTAGGACCCCTACCCCTGACTGCAGAGCTTCAGAGCTGCACAAGATGCCAGTGCTCACCAAGGTTTCCCACCCTATAGATCTCCCATAGGGCCACTAACAGAGTCCTTTCAGCCTCGAGTCCTGGCATGTAAAATGCTTCCAGCTGCAGAGAGGCTGTGTCCTTCCCCTCCTCCCTTGTGTTTCATTGATTAAGAGTGCTGGGCCTCATTGGGGGATTTAGGAAGAGCTAATTGCAGACTGGTAATTGAAGACAGCTTGGAGTCTCTGGAAATGTCAAGGAATGGGAGGCGAGCTCAGATGCTCCTGTGCATTTAAATATGCATCACCAGCTCAGCCTCAGCCCTGCTGACAGGAGATGTCTGGTTTTCCCTTCCCCCAGCGCAACCTGTGTGGCTGCTGGGAAAACAGGGAATGCAGATCCCACCTTGCTCCCACTGAAGTAGAGGTGAGACTGGCATGGGGGTGTTAGTGGGAAGGGACAGGCTGCTGGGTGCAGCCCCTCCTGAGGCTGCAGCATATTTCTCTTGCTTCCCACTAATGTGCAACGTGTCCCCTCCAAGCTGTGTCAGTCACGAATGAAAGGGGTTTTTTTCTGCCTAGTGCTTGCAAAGCAACAGCCCTGTGTGCTCCCCCAGCCTGGCTGCTCTGCCTGTGGTGCATGCTCCGTGTGCTCGATGTGCTCATGGCAATGACACAGAGAAGGGGTACTGTGGCAGCAGCCAGCCTGGTGAGCTATGCCTCCTGATGGACAGACAGCAGGGGAAATGTGCTCTGGCTATTAAGAGCTGGCAGCATTCCTCAGAACTGCTCTATGGGGAGAAACCATCTCTAGCCTGTGTGGCTGGGTAGGGACCAGTGCTCTGCAACACCTGCTGCCTTGCAGCCCTGGGCTGCAACGATGGATGATGGATAATGTGTTCCTCAAGGCAGATGGAAGTGGGATCTATCTCTTCTGCCTCTGTGGGAGCTGTCTGGACACTGGATCCACTGTGGTTCTGAATTGCTGCTGTTCCACTGACCTGGGGAGGGTTTATGGGTTTGAGTGAGGCTTGGTCACAGCTGTAGGGATCTAGGGGGTCTGCTGGATTCTGCTGCCTCTCTGTCTGTGTCACTCCAGCTGCTGGCTGCACAGCCAGGGGTGCTCAGCTGTGTCTCAGGGCAGGACCCTGGGTTGTGGGGGGAGCACAGGGCTGGGCTCTCTCGTCAGAAGTCCTGTATTACAGCTTAATCTGGCATTAGCGCATTAATCCAGTCCTCCCCACAGCCTAGCCTGTGCCCTCTGCAGCATCCGGCCCAAGGTCTCAGTGCTCAGCTGGGCAGGAGATGCTCTCCTAGCATGGACACCTGGGGGCTGGCTGGCTCCTTCCCTTCCTCTGGGTGCCTGCAGAACAGGTGCATGGAGATATCGCTTCGCCAGGCTCTGCTGCCAGGGCTTGAGCCCCCTAAGCAATGATAGAAGCAATGTAGCCCATGCAGGGAGCAAGGCTGAGGGAAGGCTGTGTCTGAAGGGAGGACGTGAGTCAACAGCTCAGCACAGGGGCGCTGGCAGAGCAGTTGGCATGTGGAGGGGGGGAAAAGAGGTGGGAAGAGGGAGAGCTAGAGGGGGTGAAGGTGTGGGCAGGAAGGCAGATGTCACCTGTGCTGCAAAGGCCCTTCCCAGCATGAGAAATGAGACACGTGGAGATGGGTCTAAAATGGGAGAGGGGCCCTCCATACCTTACAGAGGGGCTGAGAGGATGTGGGGGAACTGGGGTGAGGGGGGCTACATCCTGAGCCTTAGTACCCTTAGTAGCATAGTCCTTCCTTCTTGCTGCTTAAGCAGAAGGAAGAAAAAACAGACAAAAAAAAAAAAAAAAAAAAAAAAAGATAGCAGAATAAAACCCTCCTCCTGCCTTTAATGAAGAGGCAGCACCAACAGCTCTGAGATCATGTGCTCTGCACAGACTGAGGCCTTTTGGGACCCTGTTCCCCACCTCATTCCTCACAGGGCACCCAGGGTTGGGGCTGTATTTGGTGAGCAGCAGAGCATGGGCTGCAACTGTGTATCCCCCCCAGCTCCTCTTCATCCTCATGGATGCGGGCAGCACTCATTCTCCTTCTGCTGTGCATGAATGAAAGGAGCAGCATGGCAACCGAGGCAGCAGGTAAGTCTGGAGCCTGCAGCATACTGAGCCCATGCACCCCATCGCTGGAAATGGTGCTTCCACGTCATTCCCCTGGGCTGAGCACCCCCGGTCAGGGCTGGGGACGGTCGGTGCCACGTGTTGGGCTCAGCCCCGCTCAGCCATTGGTAGGATTTTGCTGCAGTCTGCTCTGAACCAGTGGTTTTGGAGACAGAAGGGAGCAATGCTATTGCAGGGCTGGGGCACGGGGACTCAGGGTGAAGGGCAGCTGTGCTGGGTGGGGGCAATGCTCTGGACCTCTCCATTGAGCATCACATGGAGGGAACTTCTCCCATCGGGGTCTGTGGATGGGAGCATTCCAGGTTGCCATAGTGACAGCACTGTATCCTCCATAGCTGGAGAGTCCTGCATGGGTACTCTACCTCCCTCCTGTCTGCCCCCCTCAGCTCATGATCCCTGCTTCTAGGGGGAATCCAAACAAGGGGATCCCAGGTGACCTCAGAGTGGATCCAAGCATGCCCTCAGCCTGTCGTATAGGGTGGGTGGTGTTTTCTTCATTTCCCAGGACACTCAGGTCCAGCAGGGAGCTGCCCTTGTAGGGCTGGGAATGAGCGAGGAGCTGGGCTCACTTGGGATTCCCTGCTGTGGGCGCTGGCAGAGGGACAGGAGTAAGATTGTGGCGAGGAGCTACTAGTGACCCACATCCCTTAATCCCTGTTCTGCCCCTGCGTCATGCCTCTTTCTAAGCCCTGACGCCCGCTCCCTTGATGAGGACACGTATCCCTGCCCTGGCTATGATGAAGCCAGCTATATCCAGCTGCCCCTCCCTATCATTTACCTTTGTAAATGATAGGGAGGCCAAAATTGGGGGGGGGCCGCCCCCCCCCAGCATGAGTTCTTGCTTCTGGCATAGAGGGAGCTTCTCTTCCTCCCCCTGTTCACCTCCTTATACCAGCCTGTGCAGAGCTCAGGGACAGCAAAGGAAGGTCTCCCCTTGACCCCACTGTTCTAGGCATGGGCTCCCTGCATCACAACCCTAAGCCCCCCCACACTGCAGCCTGAGTCCTCCCTGGAAGACACGCTGCTGTCGGATCCCCTCTCTTAAGCTGATTAGAGCAGAGAGGACATGGCTGAGCAGATGCCACAAGGACCAGGAGAGTAACTGGACCCTGGAGGAATGCAGAGAGGGCAGCACAGCCATCCCTCCTGTGTCTGCTGTGACCTGGGAGGCACAGGGAGAAGGGCTGGCCACTCCCCTATGTGCTTGCATGGCATCAATCTGGCCTCAGCCCTGGCTCTATGAACACTGCAACCTTCCCAGAGACCCCTTATGGCACTGAAGACCCCCAGGTTTGGCTCCCCTCACCTGCAGCTGCCCCAGAGGGGTGTCCCAAGAAACCAGTTGTTCCTTCTATCTCTTGGAGGTAAGAGTCAGAGGTGGTGATTGAGGAAAGGAAGGAGTGCAGGATGAGGCAGGGTGGCTGCATTCCAGCCCCACAGTGCTCTGGTTTCAGATGGGGGGGGGGGGGGGGGGGGGGGTGGGGTGCGACCCCCCCCCCCTGCCCCCCCCCCCACGCACAAACAGCAAGCACCTGCCCCCTGTTGCAGCCCCCTGCACACAGAAGCAGACACAGCTCACAGCACCTCTCCATTTTATTGAAGACAAATCCCTCCGAGCTGGCAGAACCCAGCACTTTTCCATCCACTAGGCCAAAGTCCTGCTCTGGAGGGTGGGGATACTTCCTTGGACACCAGGCCTGCCCCTTGGTGCCCTGGGCTCCCAGCATTGCTGTCACTCCTACTTTACCTAGCCTTGTTCCCTGGAGGTAAGGATGAAGGCAGGGAGCAAGGAGCTGCAAGGAGGATCCCTCACCCTTGGGCAAGGCTGTCTGGGGTCTCCAGCTCCTGACCCTTCTGTTCTGGGAGATGGGTGGGCTAGAGGCTGAGCTGAGCATGAGGGGAGTTTGTGGGATGGGGAATGATTTCTCCTCCCATTTATCTCCGCTTTAAGCATCCCTGTGCATTCCCTCATGGAGGATCCCTCCTCAATCTAAATGTAGGTAGACACCTTCTGCCCTCCAACCACCCATGCCAGGGAATCACTGATCTCCAAACCTCACCAGGGGCAGCTGGAGCAGGGCAGCATCCCACCCCCCACCCTTTCCCACCAAACTCCCCAGCCCCACACCAACGGGATGGATCTGCCAAGCCTTAATGGTAGTGGTTGTTCATGTTGTTGAGGTGGGAGGCTGCCATGGCGCTGAACGGGGCCGAGGGCTGGAGGCTGTGCCCGGGATAGAGAGATGGACTGGAGCCAGGCCAGTAGGAGAAACCAGCCGGCGTCACCCCGGAGGTCATGAGGTTGAGTTTGGAGATGCCTGAGAAGGGCAGTGGGGCCAGATTGCCCTGGAATTTGTAGAGGGTGTGATCAGGGGCAGTCGGTTGACAGACCTGCGCCAGCCCATGGAAGTCGAACTTGTAGGCGTAGCGCTTGCCGTGCACCTTGGTCATGATGTTCTTGTCATAGTAGTAGCGCAGCGCCCGGCTCAGCTTGTCATAATTCATGTTGGGCTTGCTCTTCCGCTCGCCCCAGCGCCGCGCCACCTCATCAGGGTCGATCAGCTTGAACTCTCCGTTGGTGCCCTCCCAGGCAATGCAGTTGAGGTTGGCCCGGTCCGAGAGCAGCTCCAGCAGGAATTGCCACAGCTGGATCTGCCCACTGCCTGCCCCAGAGAGGTCAGAGCTCCCAGTCAGAGAAGGGGGAGCAGGAAATGTCCCAACCACCTTCACCTCTGCCTTGCTTTCCCTTCCCATTTCCCAGTGGGTACCTGCTTGCTTGGATACTCAGCTCCAGTGTTTTTTATGTAGTACCTAGACCCATCCCATATTTCTCACTTGTACTCTGCCCCAAAATGAGACTGGTGCTGTAGCTCAGCCCTGCCCATCTCCAGGGACAGAGATCCCTGCAGGGCGAGTGATGTCATGGTGCAACAGCACTCTGAGCTGAGCCCTGGCATATGAAAAGAGACCAGAGTGCCCAGCACAGGGTAGGACATATTGTGGGTTTGTCAGGTACAAACATTCCTTGTTTCCACGTGAAAACTCTCCTGTCTGAGGACATTGCACCTCTTGGCTGCACTGATGATGCCCAACATGCCCCTGTGCCAGGCTGGATGCTGTTGCCCAAAAGAGCCAGGCACACCTGGGTGTGCCCACAGTGAGGCACACAGGCAGCTGCACTGAGGGAGGACAGAAAGGGTCCCAGAGCCCTAGGGTGATGAGAAGGAACAGCCACCTTGCAGATCCACACCCCATTTCCGCCCCACTCACACCCATGCAGTTCCCCCTGCACATTCCTGCTCCCATCCTCAGATCCAGGGAGCAGCTGTACCTCTTCTACCCTCGTCTGTCAGACCCCACTCAGACATCCTGACCCAAGCAAGCAAGCCCAGGTTTTTCCAAGGCTGTGTTTCTGGCACAAGATATCCCACACCTGTGCTCTCTGCACTCCTTTGTGTTCCTTCTTCCCCTGCAGCCTGGCACTCACACCTCACACAGTGCACACATTGGCTCAGTTATGCAGACAGCCAGAGCCCAGTGCAGGGGCTGACGTTCCAGACACCTATGCCATCATCAGCAGAATAAAATGGGGGATTTCTCATCTCTGTGCCACATTCACATTTCTCACCCCATCCCCACAGCCCTCTCTGCAGACTTCTGAGCAAGGCTGATATGTGAACCTCATGCTGTACCCCACCCCACACAAGCAGCCAGGTAGGGCGGCAAGGCTTAATCCTCTGTGCCTCCCCAAGGAAACTTCTAGTGACCCCAAAAGGTCCCTTCTCACGCAGTGCGGTGTGCAGAGCACGGCTGCGCAGAGTCCACAATGCAGGGGCAAAGGGACACCGTCAGCCCCAGCTTTACTGATCTCCCACCCTTCCAAACCATGATATCCATCTCCTTGCCAGGCAGGTGAAACATGTCCCAAGCACTTGGTGCCCACTCCACATCGGCCCTATGTCCAGTGACTCTAGGGCTGCTCCCCTACATCCCTGGATGGCTTTTCCCAAAGGATGGGTGGACCCCATGAGATCCATCCTCTCCTGGTCACCCCATGCCCTAGCCCCAGCAGCTCCCTCCCTGGCGGTTCCCCTATTTCTCCACTCCCAGAATGGGCTCCACACACCCATCGGGTGTCCCCAGAGTGCTGTGTGGACCCGAGCTGGGATTCCACGCCTGTGCATTGGGATGGCCATTGGGAGCTCAGCTCCCAGTGAAGTAGCCCCAACCTGAGGCAGCAAGCACCAGGGCATCTTGTACCATATGGGAAACCCCAGTGGATAGGACATGCAGAGGGGAAAGTGCCCCAGGGGTCCCTGTTGCAAGAGGATGGGAGGGAGAGAGGCAGGTTTCTGGGACAAGAAGTGGGGAAAGGGTTGGGTTTTCTTACCTTTCTGCACGCCCGGGTTGAGGGATCCCCACGCCTGGCTCTTGCCGTCTTTGAATAAAGTTTCCCCCACTGGATCTGTGGGAAAAAAAAGGGGTGCGAGTGTGGGGAGGGCTGGGGCCAGGCGGGACTGTGACCCCCCGGCCGCTCCCCCTCGCCCACCTCACCGCTGTGGTGAAGCCAGGAAACGCGTCCAGGAAAAAGGAAATCCGATTTCTGACAGAGCTGAGGAAGCTTTTATATAGGAATAGAAAATCCCGCAGGCTGAGGTAGGGAGACAGGAAGGAGAGGGGGGAGAGTGAAAGGGATGGGATGGAAGGATGGGTGGATGGATGGAGTAGCGGAGGGTTGGGTGGATGGGAGTGAAGGAAGGGTGTTGGGGAGTGGGGAAAGGGAAAGAAAGAGAGGTGGATGGAAAGAAGTGGTGGGTGGGTGAATGACTGGATGAGTGGTTGGATGGAGGGGTGGGTGGTTGGATGAATGGGTGAGTGGATGGATGGATGGGTGTATGGAGGGAGGGAGGGAAGGGAAGATGAGAGTCAGATGGAGGGACAGCTAATAGGTAAGAGTGGGAAAATGGGCTGATGGAAGAGATGGTGGATAGACAGAGGCAACAGAAAGAGGGACGGGTGGGTGGGGTGGGTGGGTGAATGGAAGGATGGGTTGGAAGGATGAGCTGGAAGGACAGAAGGGTGGCTGGATGGATGGAAGGTCAGCGGGATGGCAGGTGGGTGATGAAGGATGGAAGAAAGGAAGGAAGGAAGAAAGGAAGGAAGGATGGATGGAAGGAAGGAAGAAAGGAAGGAAGAAAGGAAGGAAGGATGGATGGATGGATGGAAGGAAGGAAGGAAGGAAGGAAGGAAGGAAGGAAGGAAGGAAGGAAAGAAGGAAGGAAGGAAGAAAGAAAGAAAGAAAGGAAGGAAGGAAGGAAGCAAGGAAGGAAGGAAGGAAGGGTGTGCAGATGTGAAAAGCTGGAAGAGCAGAAGGGACGGTACGTGAGGAAGGCAGGGTTGGTGCCGCAGGGGCCGGGGCAGGGCGGGGGCCGGGGTGCGCTGTGTTGCGGGGGGGTCCGCCCGTACCTGGCAGGTACATGTTGAGCAGCAGTGGCACCGCTCCGGCGCCGTGTCTCATGGCAGCTGTGGGGGCGGCCCGCGGGCTGCATGTTTTAATATTCCTGCCCCTATTATTATTATTATTATTCCACTTTATCAGGGAGCAGCTGATGGCGAATAAATGGCAGCGGGACGGGCAGGGGACGGGCAGGGGCCGAGGGAGGCGGGGAGGAGGGGGAGTTTCCAGGCAACTCGCAGGGGCTCGGGGCCCCGGCTCCAGCAATTTCCTCCACTGTAATTAAAGCGGGCGCTGTCGTTCCCCCCCCCCCCCCCCCCTCCTCCCGACCCAGCCTGCTATCGGGCCCGCATCAGACTTTAATCACGGCCGCGGGTTTCTATGGAGAGAGGCTCGGGCCGCTTCCTGCCTCTTCCGCCTCCTTAACTCTTCGCAAACACGGCGCTGCCATCCCGGCTGCGAGTGGGGCTCGGACACTGCCTGGAGACCGCCGGGCCACGGCCCTCCCCGGGCTCCCCTTGCTGCACAGTGCCGTGCCCCCGCATCACCCCGCTCGGCATTACCCACTGCCCCATGCCCCTGCTCTGCCCTCCCAGCACCCCATGCCCCTGCGGTGTGGATAAGTGGGGTCCCACCGTGTCCCCCCCCCATTGGGACCCTTGTGCAGCTGGGTGGGTCCCAGAGCCCTGGGGAGGATGAGCTCAGTGCCAGACACTCATGGCACCGGGATGTGGCTCGGCTCTGGCACCCCGCTGGTGCCCTGTTACACAGTCCGTGCTGCATGGATCTGTTCCCATCTTCATTAGGTTCTGTGCAGTTGGGGGGCTCTGTGCACCCACCCAACCTGCATGGCCATGTCTCCATCAGCCTGTGGGAGACTCTGCTGGCTGCTGAATCCCAGAGCTGGTGCTGCCCAATTTGGCACTGGGAGACAGGTGTTCCAGGTGCCTTCAATCTCTGCAAGCACTGTGAAGACTGGAGGGAGATTCAGGGCAAGCAGGGAAAAGGCTGAAAGAGGGGAAGGAGCTGGGGCAACTTCAGTCCCAAAGGAGTCCTCTGGGCAGATTGGCCCCACCACCCACAGCCACAGGTGCTGCGTCCAAGTGCCATCTCTGTCCCCTCAGCCAAGAATGGACCTTCCTTCCCAGCAGACCCAGAGGTGCTGCTGTCCATCTTGCCCCAGCATTGCACAGCCACCTAGCGAGCTGCTCATCTGCCACAACCTCTCCTCTGCTGTTGCATTGATGTCTATTAAAGCTCTCGCTCTGGACCCAGTGGCATTTCTTCATCACGAGGTGTAAATGGAAACCAGGATGTGTTGGTGCCAGACTTGCGCTTCTTATTCATTCTGCAGTCCAAATGTGCCATTTAGGAAGAGACACCACAGTCCAGCCATGCAGCCCATGGGGAGGGTGGGATTAGGCTGGGACATCCTACAACTGGTGGCCAATAACTCCTCCTGGCTGAGGGTGCCCAAAGCACAGGCTGAAATGGGGATTGTGTATTCTCAGCCATCTCTCCACCCTCACTGCCCACCTCCATAAGTGACAAGAGCATAGCCCACCATACAACCCACCAAATTCCTCCAGTCCCAGGGGGCCACTGGGATGCAACAGCCCTTAAAAAGTGCCTCCATCTCCAAACACCTTTGGTTGTTCCCCCAGCCCACCACAGCCCCTCTGCCTGCCCTGCAGCCTCTCCACAGCCTCCCAGACTTGCTTTCGCTGCCTGAGTCACTGCAAAACACCTCAGGCAACAGAAAACAAGCCCGGGACACAGCAGGGTGGGGGGAAGAGCCATGAACCTCTCTCTCCTGGCAACCTCCCTGGTGGTGAAGATCCTGCAGCCATGAACCTGCATCACAAAGGGCATGTGGCAGGCAGAGTTAGGGTTGTGTGAGCTGGAGGTGCGGGGGGAGGTAGATGGGATGGGGAAAGACAGTGAGCATGGGGCTGAAGGTGTGATGGAACTGGAGAGACTTGAGGTGTGCAGAGGGGCAGGGGTGTTGGGGTGCCAGGGTTTGGGGAGCTCTGTGCCCTTGGGGAAGCCAAGGGGTGGCAGGCTTTGGGGACCCAAGAGGCATTGTCCTGAGTTTATGGTGGAGCAGGGACAAATGTGAGCTGGGACAGATCCACAGGATGAGGAGAAATAAAGGGGATGGGGCCAAAGTTCATGGGACAATCAGGGGACGGGGGATATCTAGAGGAGATAAGGGCTCAGGTCCATAGGGTTCCTGGTGAGGGGTCTGGGATCCCTGGAGCACCCCACTGGCAACAGCAGATGGCTCACCCCCCCACCCCCAATCCAGCAATCTCACCCCTTCAGGTTAGGGCAGAGCAGTCCCCATGTCTTCCGTGGCAGTTCCCCCCATCACTGCCCTGTGGGTCGGTGCCCAGGAGGTCTTTACCTGCAGGCGGGCAGCGTGGAACGCAGTGGCAAGCTGACGTGGCCTTGGGTTCCCTGCAGCCCGGCTGCTGTGCAGGAATGTGTTTGTGCAGGGGGAGAGGCTGAGCAGCCGTGGGGCCGTGGTGGGGTGGGGACAAAAGAAGGCTGGGAGAGGCTCAGTGGGGACGCCCTGCAGCATGGCACTGGGAGACTGCATGGGTGCAGGGGGTATTTACGTGGATCATACTGCTGTGGAATGAGAGGAGTGTGGAATTGTAAGGTTTGAATGTGTACACTGAGTGCAAGCTCCTGTTCAGTGCACATGCACACACACATAGACCCCAGGGCTAGGGTTTTTGGGTGCAGGGTTTGCACACAGACAGGTGTGGCCCCATTCTAGGCTCCCCACCAGCCTCCCAGCCCCAATGCCAGCTGCACTGGGGACCCAACATCCAGTGCCCCACCATTCTGAGGCTTTGCAGTGGACGTTCCACAGGCAGGGAGCACCTCGGCATGCTCCCCAGGCAGGGAGCACCTTGGCGTGTCCCCCCAGGAGAGCTGGGGTGCTGGAGCAAGATGCAGGAGGACGAGGAGGCTTGGAAAGGGTGCAGGAGGAGGAGGCAGGGTGGGGCTCATGGTGTGCCCAGGCGGAGCCGGAGCCGGATGCTGGCACGGATGTGCTGGCGTGGCCAGACTTGGGGGGGGAGAGGAATGGGAAACCCCACCCAGGACTTAGGGCTGTGTGATGCTGGGGGATCAGTGGGACTGAGGCAAGTGTCTTGCCCTGTGGCAGAGTGGAGCGGAGAGGGGAGCACTCATTTTTTGACAAATGCCTTTATTTGCTACCAGGTACAGGTCTATGGCACGGCAGCCCGCAGGCTGTGAGGGCACGCACTTTGCCCCCGCTCAGTGCTGGATGCGGCGGATGGATTGGATCTGGTTGGTGTGGGCCTGGCTGCTGTATTCGCTGTACTTCTTGAACTCGCCGTTCTGTCTGTCCCGCTCCAGCACGTACTGGTAACCCCGGTATCCTGGGTACTGGTATGCCACCCACCTGCAGGGACACCTCTGGCTCAGAGCCCAAACCCCTGCTTCCCATCCTCTCCTCTTGTTGGCCCCGTGGTGAGCATGGCACAGATTTCCACGGGAAGGAGTCCCCTATATTTTGGGATCTCCTATCCAGCCCCTATCTGGGCTGGAAGTGTCCCACAACACCCATTTTGTGCCTCTGCCACCCCCAGGCAGTGGGACTCACGCTCCAGCGTTCACTTTGATGGATGCCACCTCCTTGTTGCCCCAGCCCATGGCCTGCAGTGAGGGGTAGTCGTCGCTCAGCTCGAACTTGTGCCCCTGGAAGTTCTCCGCTTCATATAGGATGACTTTGCTGTCATTGTGGTTCTGTGGGATGAGTGGGCTAGGTTCAGCAGCTAGCATGGGAAGGGGATGTGGCATGGGGGGTGCCATGCCCAACTTTGGTGCAGGGATGTGAGCCATGAAGTATCCTTCAGCCTCACCAGGGCTGACCAGAAGATGCTGCTTTCATGTCCCTGTGGTTCCCACACTCAGCATCCTCACCCTCCCTGAGGCTGCAGGGCAAGGTGGGCTGCTGGAAGTGCCTCTCCATCTCTGTGGGGCTCAGTTGGATGCTGGGCACTGAGGGGTTAATATCTGGGACACAGAGATGCGGCACTGTCCCCCCCTCCATGCCCAGCCCCCATGCACATCCATCTGCACCGTGGAGCGGTCCTGCCAGCGAGGAGCGATCTTATCGCGTCCTCTTTATTAAAGCCCGAGCATATCTGCCTGGTGATTATTAAAAGTTGGGGGGGGGGGCACACGGAGGCTCAGACGTGCCGGCACTGCGAGCACCCGCAGCCCCACGATGGAGTGATAGTGGCTGCGGCTGTGCTGAGGCTGGGTACTGGCAGGGAGGGGATGAACCTCACTCCTGAGCATCTCCCTGAGTCTGCTCTCCTACCCCAGGCTAATGGGATAAGTCCTGGTGTACTCAATCTGGGGGTGGCTCTGCAATGCACAGAGCAGGAGTAGGGGTAGAGTTTGGGGCTAAACGTGAGCCCAAATGCACACCTCAGGATGTCTGCAAGGAGGTGAGAGCCACCCCTCCATCCAACATCCCCATGTAACCCATCCACCCATGCATCCCACGTCCACGCTCCATCCCTGCTGTCCTTTGCTGGCCCAAACGTCTGTCCCCATAACTCACCGCACACTTGACAGGTCGAAAGGAGAGGAGGTGCTCGGTACGGTATCCACTGTTCCCACTCCAGGCCTCCCACCGTGGATAGTCACCCTTCTCCAGGATGAACTGCTGCCCCTGGTATTCGGGGTACTCAAAACCCACCCAGCTGCGGGAGAGGAGGGGGTACTCAGGGTGCAGGTCCTTGCCAGCATCAAACATCTCTTCTGCAGGCAAAGCCTCTCCCCACCAACACCTCGGCTTTGCAGATGGGGAAAATGAGGCACAACGCAACGGATGCAGAGGAAGGACCTGGGTGTCACATCTCTCAGGCAGCCCCTTGAAAAGGGATGGTGAGGAGGGCTCTGGGGGGCACTTACGGGCCGGACTCCACCTTGATGGAGCGGATCTTGCGGAAGCCACGCTCCATGATGCTGGGGCACTCCATGAGGAACTCACAGCGCTTGCCCTGGAAGCTCTCCTCCTCCCACACCGTGATCTTGTATTGCCCCAGAGTGTCCATGGCTTCGCTGGTCATGCGGGGAGCTCAGCTGTGGGCAGAGCCCCGGTGTCACCCGCGTGTCATCCTCTGTCACCGGCCCTTTCCAGGCTGGTCAGGGGACACCTCCCATCCCATTCCCTTACAGCTGCGGGGTCTCTGGGGACCTCAAGACCCCTCCAGCTGCAATGCCCTCTCTCTCCATGTAATTTGCCCATTGTGTGGGGCTGCTCCCAAGCCCCTTGCCCTGCATGCTGAGGGGTCTGGGTGCCTGTTGGACCCATGTGAGATGGCACATCTCTTGCAAGGATGAACCCAACATCCTTCTGCTGTCTATGGGGGGATTCACGCGAGGGGCGAAGGCAGCAGCGGTGCATTGGGGTTCGGAGGCTCACAGCCTGGTACTTACTTGGTCGCAGGGCACAGAGGCGAAGGTGGTGGTGACGGTTCTGGCTTTCCCCAGCCCTATATAGCAGGCAGCGAAGCGGGGCTGTGAGGGGGGCTATGCGCTGTGTCAGCGGGGGGGCTGGGGCACCCAGCGGGTAGGCTGCTGCTGTCCATTCCACTCAGGCAGTGTGGCGAGAGCGGCCCCCCCGCGCCACCCTCCGCTGACAATGAAAACGCTGGGCTGTGTTTGCACAGGGGCTCAGGGCACAATGGGCAAAGGGCCTGACGCATCGCTTTGCTTTCTGCCCCCGGACAATGTCCTCGCTTGGCCTGGGGATTAGGGGCACTGCCTTTCCCAGGGCACCCGCAGCCTGTGCCAGGGATGGTGGCGGTGGGCAGAAGCAGTGTTGGCATGGCTGTGGCTCAGCCATCTGGGGAGATGGGCAGCACCCCCAGCTGATGTGCTCCACGCTCTTTGCTCACGATGGCCCCAGCCTGGCATAAGGCCTTCCGTGCTGGGAGAGACTGGATGAGGCCAACATGGGGCCTCCCAGTGGCCCTGTTCTTGCAGCATCCATCCCTCTTGGCAAGAACTGGGGTCTGAGGGGTGACAGCACGCAGCATGCCTTTCTTGTTCCCCTCCGTGCATTGGCTGGCTGCTCTGTTCCACAGTGCGGAGCTCCTGTGGAGCCCCGTTGTCCCCTGCGGCCGCCTCGTGGAGTGTGAACAGCGTTGTCCCCATCGTGCCGTGCCGATGCCTTCAGGTCCCAGCAGAGGGTGCAGCCTGGCAGCGCTTGGAGCCGGCTCCTGCCCAGCGACAGCGCTATACAGCAGTTCTTTTGGGTGTATAAAGCACTGCCGACTCTGTGCAGGGCACAGTGGGGTGACACCTCCCACTTGCTCAGGGTGGCCTGGGGACATTCTTCGAAGTGTCTGAGCATGGGTATGGGCAGCCCCATCGCCGTATGTCAGGATACAGAATGGAGCACTAATTGTTTGGGATGGGGTGGGATGAGATGGGATTGTAGACAGCCTGGGGCTACGGAGTGCTGTGGGGTATATGATGGAGTCCCTGCCCCTGCACTGGAGTGTATGGAATGTAGGCTGAACATCCCATATGGGATGGGGTTTGGGGGGGGGGGGGGGGGAGTAATGGATGTTGTGCTATAGGATCTGTTGAGCACTAATGCGATCTTACGGGCATGTAGCCCTAACAGGAAGCCTGGTGCAACCTCTCGGACAAAAGCACCCAGGAGGAGGAGAAGGGAGAAGTGGGGAGAAACTGACCCCTAGGTAGGGGCTGTGCCACATCCCTGCTTCTCTGACCCCTCCGACATCCCTGCACACTGGGACAGCCATATGTGAGCCCCCAATGGGAACAGCAGATTAAGGGGATCCCCATGGTCAGAGCCCTTCCCCTTTGCACCCCAGGGTTCTGATACTGCCTGTCGTCTTCCCCCTCTCCCCCCCCCCAAGAATCTCCTGTAGCCCTAGGCGGTCCCTGCCACTAGCATCCTCACATGTCGTTTGGTCACCTGCAACGTCTATTGGGGGAGGCAGGCGGGGGCAGACAGTGAGCCTGCTCAAAGGCAGCTGCTAATACTGGTTCTGCGAGCTGATGAACACTCGTCCAGGGCCTGCTGCATAGGCTAATTTAATAAGGGCCCCGTGTCCCTCCCGGCTCATCCTGTTCCCTGCAGGAGCAAAACAGATCGGGTTTCTCCGGACCAGCCCCAGCACGGGGTCGCTCCCCCGCTGTGCTCCCCATCCGCGTGGGCACAGCCTGTGCCCTGTATCAGCTGTCTGCCGAGGGAGGGGACATGGCTCTGCCTGGTGCCACATCTGGCACACATCTGAGGCTCATGGCAGCACACTGCCTTTCCCACCGTTATTTTAAGAACCCAGGCTGGTGGACCAGGACAGTTCCCCTAGGCTCCCCTTGTCCCATCATTGCTGGGGGCTGCACTGTCGCACCTGGGGTTGGAGGTCCAGGACTGGAACTGGGAGGGAGCAGATGGAGCTGGTGCCAGCCCCTGTTTGCCTTTCTTTCAGTTGCCTGGTGCTCTGTTTGTTCTGGAGATGGCTTCCTGCTGCCAGGGCTGAAACAGGTGGCTTTTATTTGCAGGGGCTGGCTGATGAGATCGGGGGCAATGCATCATCTGCCCACCCAGCCTCCCTGCTCCCTTTTCCTCACTTTTTCCCACAGACTCATTTCTCTGGGAAGGATGCATATAACATCCTGCTGTCCTCAAGCATCTTCCTGAACAAGAAGGATGGGTAAACTCCAACCAAGGTCCAAAGGCACCCGGACCCCATAGCTGAGGCTCATTATGCCCCAGTGCCATTTGTTGCCTCTCTGCTCCTTGCTGGCTGCAGATGGCACCTGCACCATCACACGCTTGGCTGGCCAATAGGTGCTGCAGGCTCCCCTG